CATTGATAATCCATGTGGTGAAGATAGGAGGTTGGGGGGAGGGGGTGTTTGATGGTCATTGGGTGGCAGTGTCTACAAGGATAGGGACAGCCACATACAAACACGTGCTTATGCACATAAAAATGCACACATATGTACGCCATCCTGCTCGTACGCACATATCCGTGTATACAAACTCACACACTCACACACCCATACACACTTTCACACACGCCCACACTGACAGAAACAATAACTCCTTTATTTTCTCTCCATCTCCAGGCATTCCACCCCCAGGGAAAGGCAAGAAACATCTCAAACCGGTAAGTGAGGCATCCTTTTGGTACTCTGTTCATACTCCTCTTTGTGTTTGTGTCTTACTGTATTTGCGTAAAAGTGTATGAGTGTATATATTTTATATTGTTCTACGCGTAAATCTATTGTGTGTCTCTTATATTGCTAATGCTATACATGAATTCTAGTTTGTGTCTATTATATTGTTATACACTTAGATCTAGACAGTGTATGTTGTATCGTCTAATTGTTATACACATAGATCTAATCTATGTCTTTTACATCATGTAATTGTTACTCACATAGGTGTCTGTTATATTGTCTAGTTGTTGTACATGTAGATCTAGTCTGTATCTGCCACAAAAGAAAAGATGCCACCTGCGTCTCATTCTCCCCACCTCTCCGTCCCCAGTCCCGGAGCTTCAATGATGAGCAAGGAGATCACCCCAACTCTCCTGGGGCCTACTTCTTTAACAGCCAAGATCAAAACTATGCAGGTAAGCCCGGCAAATGTTCAAATGTGGTCTCAGAATTGTAATTGTATTTGTTATCATCATATCATTATTTTTATTGTTATTTTTATCATTACAATTGCTGTTGTTGTTGCCTGTATTTTGTAGATGGTTGCTGGTTTTTGGTAGTTTTGGAATGGTTTAAGCTTTTTGGTATTTGCTTTATCATCCTCTTGGCCATTCTCTTTCATTATTTCTTTCTTTCTTCCTCCCTCCATCTCTCTCTCTCTCTCTCTCTCTCTCTCTCTCTCTCTCTCTCTCTCTCTCTCTCTCTCTCTCTTTCTATGTTTGCTTTGATTTATAGATGTGCTTGAAACATTTTTAGAAATAAAGTGAGTTTTTTAAAAAATTTCCTGTCTCATGTACAACAATTTCTCAAATTCAGATAAACTGATCAAGAACATTTAAGTTTTTATGTCAAGACATGTCTTCTACAACTGCTTGTACATCTGCAATTAAAGACATAAATCAATCGATCAATTCAATTTATTAATTTGGGTAAACGCCAAAAGAATAAGCCCAGAAAATTAACAAGACAACAATTTAAAGATGATGCTCCTTTTCATTTCAAAAGAAAATGTGTCGCTCAAAGAAATCATCCAGATCTAGGCATATTTGGAACATATGGATGATTTTGAATTTACTTTACTGCATACCGAAGTCTTCATATTATTTGCTAATTTGAAGCCAAAAAAATAAAGATTTTGACAGACGCAATGATTTAATGATTGTACTGGTATGATTTAAAAGTCAGTAAAATGTGGGATAGGCAAAAGTCCGACCTATCATATCTCTACTTCCTCCATGCACTTTTTGCTGCTACTGTGCTTTGGTTAGAGAGTATTTTTATATTGCAGAATATACTTTGTAAGCTTTGCTTCCACTTGTTGTTTGCCTCTCTGTGTATGTGGGAAAAACTTTGTTGTTAAGATGTCCACGCAAAGTTCTATTTTTGTATATATATATTTACAGAAAGTAACATTGCACCTTTGTATTGCACTCATGATATATTGCATATAACATTATATACATTGAGGAAGAGATTAATTGAACAGATTGAGCTATACTGCTCCTGTAGGTCAGTGGAACAGACTAGGTATCATAATTCTCCAGCTGTTTCTGTAAAACGTCTGGACACCCCGACCCTTTCTTTACTCAAGGAATATCATCGGTCAAAATAAATTTTTACTGAATTTTTCTTAAATCAATATTATCAGGCTATAACATAAACAATTTCTCAAACATCTGTTTTTGGTGTTGTAATTTTGTCATTTAAAATGTGTGATAGCAATACGATTTCACACATTTTAAAATGCAGTTGCACCCAGAGGAAGATAAGATACGGACACCAAATGTGCTTTACGATTGTTAATGTCTTTGTCAATGCATCTCTGAAGAACAGAACTAAGGGTAAAAGAAGCAGAGGAACACGAAGAATACCTCTCTCACAGAGCATGAACAAATGGGGGATGAGAAAAAAAATTAGGATAATGTTGATAGGATTTTTTGTAGAGCCAGGTCATGAAGATATTGTTAGGAGAAGACATTAAGACATTATGAGAGATAGTATGATGAGTCTAGGGAGGGAGTTTCTTGTTTTTATATGGCTTGTGGTTGTTGGATTTTTGTTTTTGGTTGTTTTATTTTTTCATCGAAAAGGAAGTGAAAAAAGAATCCAGTCCACGCTGTAGAGGTTTTTTATTTTTATTTTTGAGTCAAGGGAAGCAACTTCAGTTTGAGACTTTTAGTGTAAGAATACACGAGTTGTCTACATAAACAAGTTGCCCTGTTTGAATTTTGTTGTTTGGTTCTCATTAGATGTGGAGTTTTTTGTTTACACCTTCTGGAAATTAAATAACTGTCCTATCTGAGCTGAGAGTTTTAAACAAGTCTGAAAACAGCTGAAGCTTAATTTTTGGAAATTGTTATTACAAATTCTTTTAAAAAATATGACGAGGTGTTAAAGAAACAGACAGGAGCTACTGAAAGTGTAAAAGATAACAGAAACTGAATAATTTATGTTCCCGAACAAAAAAGAAAATAACAAAACAATTATGATATAGGGCCAGCATTTAACAAATAATTTTCCAATCATACTCTCAGGTTTAAAAAAGGTTTAAGAAATTGTAAGGAAAACGAAAGAAAGAAAGAAAAAAAAGGTTCTAGGCTGTTTTTTTATTTTGTCAGGATTACTTAACATATCAATACTAATGTACACAAACCATAAGCCCATAACTGTTCCACCTTAATCTTTAAACCCAAACACCATGTAGCCCATTTCCCTTATCCTCATTCCTTTTTAGCCTTTTCTTTGTGTTGGGATATTTTGGTCCTTTCCCCCCCCTTTTATTTTTGCCAAATAGACTTGTTTTCCCCTTCTTCCGCGGCCCTGCTTCACGCTAGTGCTTTTTCCTCCCCCTCCCTCATCCCCCCTCCCCTTCCCCCCACTTTCCCCCATGACGCAGAGCACTTAGACGAGAGTTTTGCTAGCAATGGTGGCGGTGACGTCAGTGTGGGTGGTCGCGTGGACAACTCCATCATGACCAGCAGTGTCCCCGAGGAGGAACACGAGGAGGAGGAGGAGGAGGAGGATGATGGTAAGACTGTACAGGACTCGCCCTTCCCTCCCTCCCTCCCTCATTACCTTCCTCTTTAGTTCCTCCTTTCCCTCCCTTCCTCCCTCCCTCATTACCTTCCTCTTTAGTTCCTCCCTTCCCTCCCTCGATCCTTTGTTTCGTCCTTCCCTCCCGTCTTCCCCTTTTTCCTGTTGCATGAACACAACTGTATTTGTGTTTTACAAATGATATGCAATGGTTGTATGAGATGTAGTATTTATTATATGTTTATCATGTATTTGCATGTTTGTTTTATGTGCGTTTGTGTCACGCTCTCTGTCTCTGTCTGTCTGTCTGTCTGTCTGTCTGTCTGTCTGTCTGTCTGTCTGTCTGTCTGTCTGTCTGTCTGTCTGTCTGTCTGTC